TGTATATACAGTGTAACAGCTGATAACTCAATTCTCACTCCTTTTCAGGTTTAACTGATTTGAAATAATGGGTGAAGTCAGACTAAGCTATGAACAAAGAAAATGTATCCTAAAGTGCAACTAGACTTTTTTTTTTTATGGGGATACATAAAAGATAAAGTTTATGGTACAAAACTGGCAACAGTTGATGAATTGAGGGCACACAAATACTGAGCGAAACGATCCTTGATGTTTGCAATTCCATTGCTTTGAGTTCACAGCAGTGTGTGGACCAGAACAGTTATCAATTTGAAAACAGGCATTGACCAAAAATTTTATTCATTTCTATAGATTCTTTTAAATTTTAAAAATGAACTGTATGTTAATAAACACTGACTTTAGAATCATTCAAAGTCCATATACAACGTTGGGGGACACCCTGTATATATCTGAGAAGGAACCAGTATCCTGAATATATAAAGAAAAAAACTTACAATTTAATATAAAAAAGAAAATTCAGTTTACAAATAGGCAAAGGATTATAATAGATATTTCTCTAAAGAATATATGCAAATGACCAGTAAATACATAAAAAGATGCTCAACATCACTGCTCATTAGGAAAATGCAAATCAGAACCAGGAAATACTAATTCACACCCATTAGGAAAATAAAAAAAAAGTCAGATAATAAGTGTCGGTGAAGATATGGAAAAATTGGAAGCCTCACGCATTACTAGTGGGCATGTACAATGGTGAAGCCACGATGGGAAGCAGTTTGGCAGTTCCCCAAAAAGTGAAACATAAGATTCAGCAATTCCATTCCTGGGTATATACCCCAAAGAATTTGAAAGCTGTTGTCCATAGAAAAAAATTGTAAACAAAACGTATAACAGCCAAAAAGTGGAAACAATCCAACTATCTGTCAACCCGTGATGTGTTCTCTCCCTCCAATGGAATAGTATTTGCCATGAATAAGAGAGTAGCAAAATACTGATACATGTTACAATGTGGATGAACCTGGAAAATATGATACTAAATGGCCCTGGCCGGTGTGGCTCAGGTGGTTGGGTGTCCTCCATGCACTGAAGGGTTGCTGGTTCGATTCCAGGTCAGAGCACATGCCTGGGTTGCAGGCTACATCCCTGGTAGGGGCGTGCAGGAGGCACCCAATAGATTGATGTTTCTCTTTCACATCCATGTTTCTCTCTTTCTCCCTCCTTCTTTCTCTAGAAATAAATAAAGCCCTACCCGGTTTGGCTCAGTGGATAGAGCACTGGCCTGCAAACTGAAGGGTCCTGGGTTCGATTCCAGTCAAGGGCACATACCTGGGTTGCAGGCTCCTCCCTGCTCCGGGCCCTGGTCAGGGCATGTGCTGGATGGAGACAACCAATCGATGGATGTGTTTCTCTCACATTGATATTTCTCTCTGTCTCTCCCTCTTCCACTCTCTCTAAAATAAATTTATAAAACATAATAAGTAAAAACACTTAAAAACAAAACATGATGCCAAAACCGGTTTGGCTCAGTGGATAGAGCGTCGGCCTGCGGACTGAAAGGTCCCAGGTATATTTAAAAAAAAAAACATGATGCTAAATGAAAGAAACTGCACAGAAGGTCACATATTGCATCATCCCATTTATATGAAACGCCCAGAATAGGTACATCCATAGAGATAGAAAGTAGGTTAGAGGTGGCCTAAAGTAAGGGTAGTGGGAAAAGGACAGTGACTATATTGGATTATGGAGTTTCTTTTTGGGGTGACCTAGAATTAGATGGTGGTGATGCTTGCACAACTGCGTGAGTGCACTAAAAGCCCTTAAGTTGTATCCTTTAAACGGGTGAATTTCATGCTAAGTGAACTGGATCTCAATGAAAAACAAAAGGAAAAAATATTTTTCAATGACCATCGATCAGGACTTCAGTGAGGGGGTGGGCATCGCAGTAAAAACACACACACACACACACACACACACACACACACACACACACCAATATGGAAAGCAAGGAGCCATGCCCTGAGATCCGGATTCTCGCCCCAGGACTTGGAGGCATAAACAGCTCAGAGGTAGTGGAGCCAGGACTCCTGCCCAGGTGTGTCTGCCCTATGAGTCCTCCGCTTGTAGCCTCGCACCCTGCACCTTGTCCAATAGGAAAGCCGCCAGCCCTTGTGGTTAGTATGAGCTTGGAATGGGGCCGGTCCGAATTCTGACACACTGTGAGTGTAAAAGACACGCCGGGTTTGGAAGACTTTGTATGATAAAAATCGATAGAAAGTATCTTCATTTCTTTACATTCCTTACACATGGAAAACACACTGTTCTGGATATATTGTGTTAACATGGATCAAAGGTTCAGTTTCATCAGTTTCTTGTTACTTTCTAAAATGTGACTACTGAAACAACTGAAAATTACATTGTGGCTGGGAATGGACCGTGTGCTACTTTTGAGTATTGGATCCCTGGGAGGGTGGGCGCTGGGGCGGGAAGGGGTGTAGGAGAAGGTGTCAGTCATCGGTTGATGAAATAAAATTTCGCTGAGCGTCCTGGGCTGGACAAGCCCGAAGTTGATGACCAGGGGAGCCGCTCCACTGAGCTGGGGAGGAAGGCAGGCTTGGGTGACAACCCTTCCTCACTAGATCCAGATGTCTGAAAGTCCGTGACCAACGTCAAGATTTGCAAACCAGACCTAGCTGGTTTGGCTCAATGGACAGAGCTTGGGCCTGTGGACTGAAGGATCCCCGGTTTCGATCCCAGTCAAGGGCACATACCTGGGTGGCGGGCTCGAGATCCCCAGTGTGGGGTGTGCAGGAGGCAACCAATCAATGATTCTCTCTCATCATTGATGTTTCTATCTCTCTTCTCCCTTCCTCTCTCTGAAATCAATAAAAATATATTTAAAAAAAAAGATTTGCAAACCACGGTTATCCAAAAGGATGGCAAAGGGTGGGCATTTTGTGTATTTGACGAGTTTCCCTGTTGAAGCACAACTCTAGGCAAGAGTACCTTCAAAGGCTTAATCATGATCTCAGCTACATGTGATGATGGCGTTGCAGTCGGACTTAAGGCTGGGCCGGGCTGGGGTCCACGGAGGGCCCCAAATTGTCAGGTCAACTCCCGGGGAGGAGAACCGCGGGCACATTCGTCCTTGTACCCTTGGCGCCGGGAACAGTGTCGGGGGCGCGCGTAGTAGGCGCTTCTTCAATATCCGAAGGAGTGCAGGTGGCACCGTGATGGCAACGCCGGCGCGGATCTCCCAGGGGGGCAATTCCTGGCTTTTGTCAGCTGTCTCCACGGAGTCGCCGGCCCCCCAAAGGGTTAACAGCCACTTACTCCAGACAGGGACGGGGCCTTTATTTGAAATCAATGTCAAGAATTGGCTGTTGTGATTCTGGGGCAGAGCCAGACCGCGGCGTCTGGAAGGATCTGCGAGCTTAAAAAATACCACGCGCCACCATTTTCTCCAGGTAATTTTCCATCCCCGCCCCCCACAGGCCAGGGGGCGGCAAGTAATTCTGAAACCCCATCTTGCTATTTCAAATAAAAGGATTTTTTTTTTTTAATTTTTAAGCGGTAAAATCAG